AAATATATTTTAAAAATGAAATAAAATATAAAGTAGTATAAATAAACACATCAGACAATATAAAATCACAATATTTGAACACAGAAGGTTGATCACAGTTGGCAGGGCCAGTTGCAGGGATTAAAAGTTTAAAAACACTGGGTGAGAGAGCAATGTAAAGTATCTAGACAGGGGATCTGAGGGACAAATCGGGTTTAATTGCACTAACAGGTAAAATAAAGTGCTTCCGAGGGCATTTTATGTAGCGTTTGGTCAGATCAGGGGCAAGCTGGGCTTTAGATCAGGTGCTCACCCCAACCTGGGCTTTGAACTGGCAACCTTTTAATTCAGTGGTTCTCAACCTTCCTAATGCCATGACCCCTTAATACAGTCCTCATGTGGTGGTGACCCCCAACCATAATATTGTTTTTGTTGCTACTTCAGAACAGTCATTTTACTACTGTTATAAATCATAATGTAAATATCTGATATGCAGGATGCATTTTCATTCACTGGACCAAACTGGGCACAAATACCCAATGCACCCAAATGTGAATGCTAGTGGGGTTGGGGGAGGACTGATTTTGTAATTTGGGAGTTGTAGTTGCTGGGATTTATAGTTCACTTATAATCAGAGAGCATTCTGAACTCCACCAGCGATGGATTTGAACCAAACTTGGCTCCCATGACCAATGGAAAACACTGGAAGGGTTTGATGGGCATTGACCTTGAGTTTGGGAGTTGTAGTTCACCTATATCCAGAGAGCACTGTGGACTCACGCAGTGGTGGATCTGGACCAAACTTGGCACAAATATGTGCAAATGTGAACACTGGTGGAGCCTGGGGAAAATAGACCTTGACTTTTGGGAAATGTAGTTGTTGGGATTTATAGTTCATTACAATCAAAGAACATTCTGAACCCCACCAACGATAGAATTGGCTCAAACTTCCGACATGGATTCCTCATGACCATCAGAAAATACTGTGTTTTCCTATGGGCTTTGGTGACCCCTCTGACACCCCCTCGCGACACCCCCAGGGGTCCCGACCCCCAGGTTGAGAAACACTGCTCTAGAACATTGATCAGTGAATGGACACCAAGAGGCTGGACAATCTCAGTTGCTACATCAGATGAGACCACTTCTATTATTATTATTATTATTAAACTTTATTTGTACCCCGCTAGCATCTCCCAGAGGGATTCGATGCGGCTTACAACAGGCCAGAGCCCAGCACAACACAATACAACAATACAGCAATACAAACATAGCAAATAAAACAGTTAAAGCAGAAAACAGTGGCAATAAACAATACAACGAGGACATTATTAAAAACTGAGCCGGCCGGAGTGGGGTACAGGGTTAAAAGTGCTGAAGTGTCGGAGGGATATGGGATTAAAATATAAGTGCAGTGTGCGGTGAAGGTGATCTTGACTCTACTAAAGTGCTTCTGGGCTTTGGTAGTGGGGTTCCTAATCTGAGAAGGCACGTTGGAACAGCCAGGTTTTCAGGTTTTTTCTAAAAACCGCCAAGGTGGGGGCCTGTCTGAGATCTTTCGGGAGGGCATTCCAGAGGCGGGGGGCCACCACAGAGAAGGCCCTGTCCCGCGTCCCCACCAAACGCGCCTGCGAGGTGGGTGGGATCACGAGCAGGGCCTCTCCTGATGACCGGAGCGAGCGTGTGGGTTCGTAGACTGTGATGCGGTCTCGTAGGTATTGTATGTTGGACTACAAATCACAGCAGTCCTTGCCAGCATAGCTAATGAAATGCTGCGAGTTGTAGTCCAAAGACATCTGAAGTACGACGCAGTAGCCAACCCAAGTTATAGGACTAGATGGCAAAACAACACAATAACATTGTTGGAGTTGTTAGTGCTCTTGCTATCCGTACCATCCTCTTGTGCAGCTAGCAATGAGGTAATTTGGATGTACAGCCTTGTAACTGTTCTGCATTCACATTTACAACCATGGCACAATTACCATGCTCCTCTCTGAAGTTGCTTGGTGTTGGGGATTCCTCATCTTCGGAAGAGGAAGGGGAGCAGGGAAGTGCTCAGGAATTGGAGGGAGAAGAAGAATCAGACAATAAGGGTTTGGAAGTGCCCACATTTCTAGAGAGACGAAAAGAGACAGAGCACAGAAGGCGTTCAGCCAGAATAGCTGCTAAAAATGCTGAGCTAATTGGGAGTAGTCAGCTTTCGCTGGTAACAATGACCCTGATACTGCTGTTTTAAATCTTAGACCTCCCCCCATGGCCAGACAGATTTATGGCTGGTTGAAAGGTTAAGGCTGTTAAAACTTAAGACTGGTAACAATCTGTCTTGAATTCAAAACGATCTTGACAGATTAGAGAGATGATTGGCCAAAGCTAACAAAAGGAAGTTCAACAGTGACAAATGCAAGATACTCCACTTTGGCAGGAAAAACGAAATGCAAAGATACAGAATGGGGGACAATGCCTGGCTCGAGAGCAGGACGTGTGAAAAAGATCTTGGAGTCCTCGTGGACAACAAGTTAAACATGAGCCAGGAATGTGATGTGGCGGCAAAAAAAGCCAATGGGATTTTGGCCTGCATCAATAGGAGCATAGTGTCTAGATCTAGGGAAGTCATGCTACCCCTCTATTCTGCTTTGGTTAGACCACACCTGGAATATTGTGTCCAATTCTGAGCACCACAATTCAAGAGAGATATTGACAAGCTGGAATGTGTCCAGAGGAGGGTGACTAAAATGATCAAGGGTCTGGAGAACAAGCCCTATGAGGAGCGGCTTAAGGAGCTGGGCATGTTTAGCCTGAAGAAGAGAAGGCTGAGAGGGGATATGATAGCCATGTATAAATATGTGAGAGGAAGCCACAGGGAGGAGGGAGCAAGCTTGTTTTCTGCTTCCTTGGAGACTAGGACGGAACAATGGCTTCAAACTACAAGAGAGGAGATTCCATCTGAACATGAGGAAGAACTTCCTGACTGTGAGAACCGTTCAGCAGTGGAACTCTCTGCCCCGGAGTGTGGTGGAGGCTCCTTCTTTGGAAGCTTTTAAACAGAGGCTGGATGGCCATCTGTCAGGGGTGATTTGAATGCAATATTCCTGCTTCTTGG